GTCTACAAGGTCTCCCGTCGTAGATGTCGCTCCGCCGCGGCCACTCAAGTTTGCTGTTCATGCGGTTGCTGCTGCTTGCCGCTGTCTGCGTGTACACCGCGGTAGAGCAGCAACCCTCCCTGGCATTCGTCGTGCGCGGGACCGCAGGGAGCTTGTCGGTTCCAGGTCCTTCGTGGAGGGCTGGGGTGGGCTGCAGCGGCAGCAGCAGCAGCAGCAACAGTAGCAACAGCAACTACAACAACACCATATCCTACATCTCGAGGCCTCTTGACTCGTACGTGATGTCAAGACGCTCATCTTTGCCCGCAATCTCGCCGTAAGCTTCTTTTGTGACTTCTTCGACGGCCTTCAAGGTAGTGGTGGCGAAGTGAAGAACCTTGAGGGCACTTGGAAGCGGTCACTGCGAATGAGTAGCCATGGGGGGCCTCGAAACCCTTTAAGAGGGTGCTTTTTTGGGCATTTCACACGGGAGTACCTGTGGGGTCTCCAAGGTCCCCTTTTGGGGGCCCTTAGTTGCCATGCTTCCCCTTCTTAAAACTTTATCTAAGTTGAGCATTCCTTAATGTCACCGCATCTCTCGGATTGTACTTCTGTATATGGGGAGTTGCTGCTGCGGCGACCTCCTACTGCTGTCTCTGCCTGTTCTTCTGCTGCGCTTCAGGGTGGCTAATGCAGCTGTAGATAGTTCCTCTGTAGCGGCGGAAATCCCACAGGTTAGATAGGGGCACCCTGAGAGATGGCTCGTGGACGCCTTTTGACTTATTAATAAGGCCACAAATGCAGAGTCTGTGGGCGAAGAGGCTCCTCAAGTACTGCACTTAAGAGCTTCGGAGTGCGTTTAAGGGGCCATATCTGCATTACATTTGAGAAGCGTGTAAAAAGGCAGCATGTATGGGGACCTCCAGGGGTCGTGAATGGATCTGTTGGGATCATGATTTGGCGTCATTCCCGAACCTTGCCAGTAGGGTGATTCACTGCTCAGATGTATATCTGGGCTTAATCATCGAAATGGCCCATGCTGCATATTTAGGGCTAAGCCAAAACCGATTCAAGGGCTTTGCAGACGCAGAACTTGGCAGAGGCGTTGGTGCTAAGGACTGCTGCTGAGGACTTTGCGTGCAGGAGACACCGGAAGAAGTGAAACAGCAAATACGAAAGAGGCGGCTTTCCAATCATCGTGAGAGATGCGGTTATGTGTCGTCATCTGTTCTGGTTCTTCCAGCATTTCTCTTCTTTTTCTCTACCTCATCTCTTCCTTTGGCTTTTACGTTTTTTCTACATTTCCCCTCCTGCATGCTTCTTTCTCTGTCTATGCCTCCCGGCGTGCGTCAGTCTGTTTGCGTTTATTAAGTACGTTTATCTGTTTGTGTCTGCCCTGGTCTTTGTCTCTTTGGGTTTAACTGATCACTTCTCGTTGCACTTTCGCTGCTGTTTGCTTTCCAGTTTCCTTCTACCTGTTCATGTCTGCTTCTGTTCCAATGCACGTCCCTGCATATCGCTCTGTGCGAAGGTTTCTTTTTCCTCTGTGCATTTGTGCACTTCAGATTTTGCGCATTTCCCTGTCTGCGTACCTGTTTCTCGTCTTTCTTTTGCAAACATTTGCTGCCGCTTGCTGCAGTCTCTCCGCATCGTATATTGAAAAATGACTGCCTCCGGGTCGCCCTTATGGGCCCCTCGGCGTACAGGGAGCTCATCTTGCAGCAAGGCACTGCAGCAGCAACTGCAGCAACAGCAAGGGTACAAACAGAAGAGCCAGCAGCAGCAGCGACAGCGGAAGCAGGAGACATTGATACTTTTGCAGTGCCTGTGTGGGTGATGCGCCAAGCTGGCCGATACCTGCCCGAGTTTAGGGAGATAAGATCGAAGCACAAATTTCTTACAGTACGTTAGCTTTCTTACTTTGTATTTGGGGTTTTATTCCAAATGTAGCGTGGACCATATGGAAAGATTTCTGAGTAACTTGCCTGTTTCAGGAAAGGGGCTCGTCTGCGTACCTCTTTTCCTTGCATCTAGATAGAACGGGGAAGAGCTAAGATGGGAATCAAGGATCACGTAACAAAGGCAATTCGGTCAATTTTTTTTACTTCACATCTGCGTTCGCTTTTAATGTCGTTTCTTTTTAAATTTCTCAGGTGTGCAGAGACCCATTACTGGCAGCTGAGGTGACCCTTCAGCCTCTTCGTCGTTTCCCTCAACTTGATGCCGTTATTATCTTCACTGACATTCTTGTCTTACCCGAGGTATCTATGCACAGTTGTTAAACCTGAATTCAACCCGCCTCTACGCCTTTGTGCCAAAGGCTTACTGGTCCCACGATTTGGAAACCAAAAGCTGCCTGTAGCAAGGTCTCGTGACGCCGCCGAACAATGAAGAAATTTGAGAGTAAAGCGTTTAGAATGTTCACGTTGCAGGCCATGGGGATGCCTCTAACAGTAGAAGAAGGAGAGGGACCGCGTTTTGGCTGGCGGCTTGAATCGCCATCTGACATTGACCGTCTAGACCCCACATTTGATGTCGAGGACAAACTGGGTATGGGCCAAGGGCTCAAAGGACTTGCGGCTTAGTGTTTGTGGCGAAGAGTGTTGAGACAGGTGTGCCGTGTGATCCTTGATGACTCTCCGTTTGCACTGCTCGTACTTTTGCTTCAGGTCACGTACTGGACGCAATATACGCAACAGTAGAGCAGCTGGATGGCCGCGTGCCGTTAATAGGGTTTAGTGGGGCTCCCCTCACTTTGTTTTGCTATATGGTAGAGGGTGGATCGTCCGCCAAGGGCTGGCGCAGGTGCAAAGAGTTCATCTATCAACATCAAGAGAGGTCACTGCTGCTGCTACAGCAGATCGCCGCAGCAGCGGCAAGGTACCTTATCAAACAAGTTGATGCCGGAGCTCAAGTGTTGCAGGTAAGTGTGGCATAGCGACTGTCCTCCCTCTCTTACTGCAACAGCTGCTGCGGCTACCGCTGCTTGTAAGATCGTTGTTCGCACCGCAGCAGCGAAATCTGCTGCGTCTGCATTTGCTGTCGTTAATGGTGCCAATTTCAGGTGTTTGACACAAACGCGAGCGCTTTCTCCCCTGAGGAATACGAGCGATTTGGGGCTCCCTTTATGCGACAAATTGCGGAGGTGTCATTGCCGGCTACTTTTGCAACTGCTTTTGAACGGCTTCGCTGTACTTGCCGGAATCCTGTGCTACGCTTGCTACTGATGATGCGGTTGCTGTTTGTGGACGTTCCTGTTCTTAAAGCGCTTCATCGTGTGGCTGTGTCCCTGACGTTTTGTGTGTGTGTTCTGTGTATGTGTGTGTGTGTGTGTGCGTGTGTGTGTGTGTGTGCGCACGCGCTTGGCGTCACGCCATCAAATCCTAAACCGTAGAGTGTGGCCTGTCTCTGCAGGAGGTGGCATCTGCTCGCCCCGGAGTGCCACTAATTGCCTTTCCGAAAGACCAACCCCTCTTATCATTCAACTCGTCATCCTTCTCGGCTATAAGTATCGGCTGGGGCACAGAAAGGGCCCTTGCTAAAGCTAGGCTTCAGCAAGGGGCCCCTCTTGGTGCCAGGCCCCCCATAGACAGCCCGCTCACCAAAGCGCTGCAGGGAAACTTGGATCCTCACATTCTGTATGCGCCAGATGAAGTCATCAGGCAGCAAACGACAGACATGGTAAGCGTTTTCTGACTTTTCTGAATAAGCTTCACGCTTCAGGCTTCCTTCTTGGTGCGGAGGAGTAGTGCTGGGATCAGCCATGCCGTGACAGAGTGAACATATACGTCGCTCCCTACTACGCAGTCACTGATGCAACAGCAAATTGTGGTGCTCAGTACCGTTGCTGCTGCATCACATGGGACGCACATCGGCACTCACAGTTTCGTGATTTTCCCGCGATACCGCGTTGTTGTTGAGGTCGCTTTTGTTTGCCTTGCGGCTAAAGTTTGCAAGCATCTTTCTGTAGTGCATTCTTTCTCTCTGAACAAGGATGCTTATCACGTTTGCTGCTGCTGCTGCTGCTGCTATATTTGAGTCGGTTAGGGTTGTGACTGCTGCAGGTGCGCGCATTCCAGCCTGGGCGTTACGTGGCAAATTTGGGGCATGGAATGGAGCCTCAAATGGACCCTCACAAGCTCGAGGTTTTCTTGCAGTCTGTGAAAGACGCGGCAGCACAAATCAAGAAGGAGCACGAGGCCTCTTGCAATACACAGGCAGCAAGACAGCCAGCTACGTAGCTCGCTAGGTCACTTGTATTTCAGTAGCTACCTGTCAGCAACTTAAGCTGCGTCTTGTCGTCCAGTTAGAGAAATATTCAGCCAACTAGCCATCAAAACAGTCAACAGGTGCAGCAATTTTTGGTACTCCAGACGCCACATGCACTCACGAAAGGCCCAACGAGTAGATCTCAAGAGAGATCGGCATGGCGTTCAGCTCCATGACTTGCGGCTGATTGTCTCGTAAGTCTTGTCTCAGCTCGCAGCCGCCACGGCATTCAAGCTTGCAAGGTAGGCAGCTAGCCAAGTTACAGCAAGGTTGCTGTGAAGTCGGAAGGCCACTGTCTACCTTGGCAGCCAGCCAAGCAAGCGGACGCCTAGCTAGCCAGTTGTTTAGCTTGCCACATACATGGGCAGGAGTCTCGAGAGCTAATTATCAGGCTAGCTCGCGAGTCTCCTGCTGCAGGCGAGAGTTTCTTTGGCCTCTCTCTGCAGTTTCAAGGAGTGGTCTGTGCCTGCATTAATCTACTTAATTTGAAAAGGCACGTTTAGAGCTAAGCTTTGCGTAGGGCTTGCTGTATTCCACTGTCGTGGGCGAACTGCTTTCCCGAGCTGCATGATTTCCTGTTCGGAACTCACTTAAGCTTGTTAAATTAAGCTAGCACGGGCTTGTCCCTGTATTGCCACTCTACCCCTTCGTACTCGTCACAAATATCTACTCTTGTTTTAGGATCGGAGCCAGCAAAGTCCAAACTTCAACATATGTATGAGTTGTGCTTCTGTGATGGCATTCGACGGCTTTCAGTCATTCGCTTCTTCTACCTTCGTCTTTTTCGCCGAGCTAGAAGTAGCCGGCTCCGCTTCCACAGTGCCCTCGCGTTTCTTGCTTACGCTGCCGCTGCTGCAACTGCTTGTGCTGTTACTGCTCGTGCCGGCGATGCTACTGCTGCTGGTATTGATGCTGCTGTTGCTGCTCCTGGTGTTGGGGTTCTGGGCTGAACGGAGTTGAGTGGGCAACGAGTCCGAGGCTTGCGCGGATCGCCACAAGACATACTTGAAGGTGCCCATTTGCCGAATAGGAGACGACCCGAGCGACCCCTATACAACGCAAAAAGAAGCCTACGCACCAGGTTGTGCCCCAAATATTTCAACATGGATATCCTGCTCTTGAGGTGCTGTGTATACTGCATTTGGGGCTTGATAGCAATGTAAGCCGCACATGCTCCGCGTGAGCTCTAGCAGCGGGGGCTATGTTCTCGGAGAAAGATACAACGAAAATCAGAAGATAAGCTAAGACAGCACGCTGCCATGACTCCACAGGGATCGTTGCCGCACGTTGCACCGGCAGACGGGGAGCAAGGGCCCGTTGCTGCGGCATCAGCCAACAGCGGCAGAGGAGACAAATGAAGTAGCTGCTGCACAAGCGGCAGCAATGCGGAGTCAAACTACGCTGCGCTGCTGCAGCGGCCTCACCTCAATTAAAACCCTCCAGAGTCCTCCGCAGCTCCAGCTGGACCTCTCAGTAAGAGCAGCAACAACCTGTTGCAACAAACCATCCTGCATCAGTTCAGCCAAGCCCCAAACAAAGTAACGCATGCGACGACCACATAAGCTGCAGGCTAGCCACTGCAGCAAGAACTTCAGCTGAGCATCCCCACCAAAAAAGCCACAGCCCCAGTTGCCTGCAAGCAGCAGTAATACCAAGCACAGCAGCAGCAAAGGCAAAGGTGCACAATCGCTAGAGAGAGTAGCAGGAAGCAGTGGTATGCAACGGCAGTCAGCGGCTAAGGTCAGTCGTATCTGTCGCTCCTACAAAGCTCTCCTGCACCTGTTGTAAGTGGTCTTAGACCCGATTTCTTATCCGTTGCTGGAGCTTGTGCCGCAGCTGTTGTTGCACCGTAAGCTGTATCTGCTGCAGTGATGGTCGCCGCTGCTGCGTGCGGCAGGTCTGGTTCGTATGGCAGATGAAGAGCAGCGGATACTTTCTGTACTTCGCGCATCATGAGAGGTACGGAAAACTGAAACGAAGAGTGCAGTACTTCCCGTGCTGTTGCGTGCCGACTGTGAGACGGTAACTCAAGCCCCAAAACCTCCGCTGCGGCTGCGGCTGCTGCTGCTGCACTTCGAGCAGCCCCAGAGGATCCAAAGCGTCTTGCATCATATGCAGCCACGATGGAGGCTATCTCCAAGCGAAGCAGCGGACTCAGGGGACCTGGCTCTTGTGCTGCTGCTTCAGTTACCGTGTCAGCCCTTGTCCTATGCTGTGTCGTATTCTTCTGCTGGTGCGGGTCGCTAGTAAAATGTGGCACAGGTAGCCACTGCAAGCGGATAGGGGTGCTGTCGACGGCCTCTACCCCCTCTACCCCTTTCCAGCCTCTCCAGCAGCTGTTGCTGCTGCTCTCCGTCATTTTTGCGTAGTCTTTGGTAGTGCTTTCTGCTTCATCATCGGAATTTAGAGATAGAAGCAGGCGACTTTTCAGACCAGGCTTCTTCAGCTCTTCTCGCCACTGCTCCTGCGGCTGCTGGTGTTGGCTTTGATGATGGCTGTCAGAGCCAATATCTGCCTGCTGCTGCAGCTGCCCCTGCTGAGCTGATTGTGAAGAAGTTCTGCTGCCTTTGGCTGTGTTGTTCCCGTCTGGATTTGCATTAAGCATACACCTGAAGGTGTTCGCATACCCCTGGTACCTAGAGAAGCGGAGGCAGCCGCAAACGTGTGCTGCCTCCCCTGGAAAGAGATGCTGCGACAGAGGGCGCAACAGTAGTAGCTCGGGATACACAGCAAAGAGAACTTCCTCCTGCAGACACCCTTAGCGCAAGCACAACATGAAGACGCACAAAACGGACAGATGCAATGGCTGAGGGAAAAATACGTCACACTACCTAAAAGCGAGTTACCAGGTTAGGAAAGCGCATGAATCGAACGGAACTGTGAAAGAGACCACACGGCAAACCTGATGAAGCAACAAAGTGCAGCAGCTCCAGCCGCAGCACCGGAACAATACACCACCACTGTCAGACAACAGCGCAGTCCTGCGCTTGCTCAAATATTAGCAACACTATGGCGAAGCAGCAGCACTAGCAGCCGTAGCAGCACCTCCAGATTACCTTGGTACAAAATTCCCCCGCCAACCACTTTGTTTGCAAAATCCGCTCTGATGTCGAGCGATTCACTAGTCGGGATGCCCCCCCCGTCTTCTGCGTGAAGAAACAGCTGCGGTTGCAGCAGTCGTCCCTCTTGCAACGCCAAAGCCTCTGAGCTGATACTACAGGGCTCCGCCTGGGCCCGGGATATTCGGATACACCGTAACACGAAGCAGCAAGGGTGACTCACGGGCCACTGGCCAGTAGCAGGCCCACGGGGGACGTAGCAGGAGCGACCCAAAAACAGGCCACTGCATGTCGCCGCTGCGCCCTTGACGCCGCCGCTCTCGCTGGTGTTCATACCCACGTCAGGCGGTTTCGGCATCAGTGAATAGTTGCATATTGGTGTGGCAGCAGCTTCACCAGCAGCTGGAGCATGTGCAGTGCCAGTAGAAGCACTGGGACTCTCGTCCGCACTAGAAGCCGCAGTAGCCTGCGTGGGAAGTAGGCTGCACGTCTCTTCTTCTAGCAGCAGAGAAAGCTGACGGACTTCTTGCTGGCTTCGGGTGTCTCTACAGCAAAGAGCAGCAAGGTGAGGGGGCGCAAAGGCAAAGAGGGGGAGGCCTCTGCGCTGACACTTGTCGTGGAATGCCTCCACTGCTGCAGCCATGCAGCAGCAGTACCTGCAGCAGGGCGCATAAATATTCAGGGTGCTGTTGTCGCTGTTCACGCCATTGCTGTCATTGCTTTTGGCATATATTATTTTCTCTGTTTCCAACGTAAAACCATCTTACCTGATAAAGCAGTGGAGTTTGGCGGCCTGGCTTGGTGCTGCAGCAGATAGCATAAGCAGCAATAGCAGAACTAGTACGAAATAAGCGCTCATCTCCAGTTGCTGAAGTCCTTGTTTTTAGAAATCTCGGCGAGAAACAATGAGATGCCAGCAGAGGAAAGGAAACAAAAGGACACCGAATTCGGTTCACCGAAACCCAGACACAGCACGGTCAAACCCTACTGAATCCAGTACAAACAGCAGCAGCAGCACTAGCAGGATGAGCCTTAGCTTCAGCAGCAGCAGCAGCATACCTGCGAAATCAAAGAAATCGACAAAAGATATATCTCCTAGGTTTGACAGCCCCGTGGCAGCCTTTTGCCATTCTGGGGGCGGCAGTAAACCAAAAAGGCCCAGACCGAACAGCACCCAACCTTCGGCAGCGCTAATCTCTGCTGGGCAGCTGGTCACATGCAACCCACTTGTAACGCTGCCCTTGCTGCCGGTACTAACGGAGCAGACCCCGCTGCTGCAGTGTTTGTAGAGCTGCAGCCGGAGCCGGCAGGACCCACAAGTGCACGCTTGCAACCTACCACTTTCTGTCTTTGCATTTGATGCTGTTGTTGATGCTGCTGCTGTAGCTCCTGTTGCTGTTCTTCCTCGCAAGATGTGCCTACACCTAGGGAAGATCTGCTCAGCCATAAGGACCGCTTTTACTAGTAGCGGAAGGGCTCTCCTGAAAAATGGAACCGTTGCTGCTGCTGGCACTGCAGAAAACAGCCTCTCGACGTTCTGGAAAGTTCGGGCTGACGGCTTGCCTGGGGGCGGCAAAGTCTCCTGCTGATGCTGGTGCAGCAGCTGCTTCTGGTGAATTGGCGTTGCCACGGTCTGGTAGCCTTCGTCTTGAGCCTCCATGAAAACCCCCAAACCTCGGGGATGTAGCGCACCCTGCTGCACTAGAGCCATCCTCTCCAGGTAACCCTCATAAATAGCGTTCTGTACATCCCTTAAAATTTGTTTTAGCTTGGGGGCACTCAAGGAGCTCACTGAGGCTCCACCAGGGTGCCACCTTTCCTCGGAGCTTCCCAAGACTTTCGTGTGTCCCTCCTCCGAGTAGCTCACGGCTGCCTGCAAGACTGAAACCGCGCGTCTCCACTCTAGGGGAGGCTGGAGATGGTGCAGCAGCAACAGCACTGGCTGGAAACCTGGCGCAAGTGGCCCCTGTGAAGGGCACTCATTCATTGTGTGTTCACCACTCATGATGACGGCCTTTCCATGCTCTTCCTTTTACGGGTTTTCTAGCCGTTCTTCATGTTTTTCAGTGGCCCGACGACCCAGTGTTGAGAGATGAAAATGGGCACCCCGGAGCAATGGTGTTCTGTGTCTCGAGACAGCAGAGGCCAGCGGGGCTCTCTGGTGACGGCATTGCAGCTCCTTCGGACGCTGTACATGCACTAGGTAGGTCTCACAGCATGTAATTTGAAATGAGGCTCCTCTACTGGTGATTTCTGCGAACAGGTTGCAAATGCTGGTCACTGAGGTGTCGCAACCCTCAAGTGGTCGAGAGGGATTGCAGCTGATCTTCGTACTTTCCTGTTAGCAAAGTCCGCCATTCCTGTGTCTTGCCACATTAGTGTCGTTCGGTGGAGGATCCAGAGACCCTAAGTCTCTCAGACGTAGAATGCCGACCCTCCCAAAGCCCGGGGGCCCCTCAGTTACTCACAATGCCTTTGTGACAAGAGTGCACGTACTACTTGAAAATTTCAACCTTCTTTGATTATAATGATTGGAAAAATGTAAAGGCAGCACGGGGAGAGTAACGCGCGTATACCGCTAACCATCGATCACCCAAACTTGAACCACGCCCACGACCCTTTCATGGAAACCTTGTGTGTACAACAGGTGTTGCTGCACTACACGCGAAATTTCATTTGTTTGATGGCTGTCTTGTTTAGTTGCGTTTTCTGCAGCCCATCTGCTGCTGTCATCGCCGTCATCCGAGTTAGAAAGATCACTTCGGGTGCCACTAGCATGATGACACACTGATCTACGCTCAGCTCCGCATTTCAAGAAGTTCCAAAGGATGTCCTGCATGCCGCCCCTGCCACGGCAGTGATTCACAACGCAGCCACAGCTGTAATCCGTCCCAGCCATCTCCGCAACTGAAGATCACTATTGCGTTGCCCACTAATTCGCGACGACCGAAGCAGAACGTCTGCCGAGTCTATTTGCAACTCACTAACGGTGGGCACTATACTACTCTATGTCGTAATTTGCTAATGCTTGGAACTAGGCCTACTGCAAGTCTTTCTACAGAGCGGCAGTTCGCAGCAAATGCCACATCATGATAGACACCAGTACACCAGCAAAAGGAGCAACTTAACGTAGTTGACAGCCACTTGACCCAACGGAAAACCACACAACCAAACCCTTCGTGCCCCCCGTTGGAATGCGGAGGGCGCTGAGGTACCCTCTGCGTTTCCTACAGAGCAGCTAGTCCACCAACTAGTCCAGCAGTGGTAGCCACGCCACCCGCCGCTGCGGTGCGGCTGTTGGCTGCTCAGCATATTGCAGGAGCAGCTGCAGAAATCTTGGGCCACAACTCTGCGCATTCCTTTGCGACTGGGCCTGTAATGGCAGAGCCCTTCATCTCCCCCTTGTTGTTGCAGATAACTCCTGCATTATCCTCGAAGTATATGAAGTAGCCCTCAGCCCGCCTCCAGGCGCGGCGCTGTCTCACAATGACTGCAGGGTGCACTTTCTTGCGCAGCTCAGGCTTGCCCTTCTTGACTGTGGCCAACACCAGGTCACCAAGGGAGCTTGACGGCAGGCGGTTCAGGCAGGAGCCCCAGCCCTGTAACACGCAAGGAACCAACACTCTAGTTGCGCATGTGCAGGGCAAAGGAACGCAATAGTCGGGGCAGTGTTCGTGCAAATGCCACTATTTGAAACGTGGTGAAAATTAAAGCGGCACTTACCTTGACAGCAATGATGAACAGGTTCTTAGCCCCGCTATTGTCGCAACAGTTGATGAGGGCACCCACCGGCAAACCTGCAACGGAAGCACCAACCGAAGGCAAAGCCGAATATATGTGCCACCTCTTTACTTGTCTGTACAAACGCATTATTACTTGCAATTCAACAAATCAATGTGTAAGCTCTAGAACACAGTAAGAATGCGAGGCACTGTGGCCCGCCTGCTCACCGAGGGTGACCTTCATCTTGTTGCCACCGGCACCTCCACGTCCTGAACAAACAAAAGCCATACAAATAAAGTGAAAGCATAAAGACAATTCCGCGGAAGTACTTAGATACGGACCCTCGTCACGCTCGGCGGGCAGCGAGAGATCCGTAGTGCACGGGGAGTTCTTCCAATAGCTGATGCTCGAATTCTACATGGAGATCCGCTTCAGCTAATTTCAAATGAAAAAGTGTAGCCTTCTGCCAATGGCAGAAGTCTGAATCCGTCTTCGCCAGTTTGCAAGGAAATATCGCATCATGGAGCCCTGAGGGCTTTCATACACCCGACAGTAGCTCATGTTGAGCCAAGGATCTATGAATAACGGATCTATTCGTTCAGCAAGCAATTACAGTACACAGGAAGGAGCAACAGAGCTGAAATTCGACTTTGCCTTTCACGGGAAAAGAAGCATTGTCACTCGAATGGGCTACCCCACACTCACCGCGCTTCATTGTGCTCTTTGCGCAGGGGAGCCAGAGCAGGATATAATAATGCAGCCCGATATTGCCTTACGGCACAATAGAAAGGTTGTGGTCGCTGCCGGACCTCAAACTATGCTCTAAGTCTCCCAAGTTGCACCCACAGCGCTGCAGCCTGCTCCTACCGTGAGCCCCATCGCAGCCAACTTCTAGGCTGCATGCATCCCCATTTCATGAGTTGCTAAGAGCGACTGCTTTCCGAGCAGTACTCGAGGTATACCAATTTTTGAAAATATGCACTAAGGAGAATTTTTGTTCGATGCAGTATGAGGTGGGATATTGAAACTCAAAGTGAATCGCTCGAGCCCAACCACGGCTTATTATCCTCGCTGGCGGCAACGGAAAAGGAAGGCACGTAACGTAAAAGGAACACAACCTCAAGAGCTCGTGTCGTATGCGTTGAGTAGAGCACAAGAAGCGCATGGTAATGCTTTTGGAACGGCAAGACACGAGAGAAACCAGATACGGGTGGCGCTAGGACACTGAGTAGAGAGTAGGAACTCGTGTTGAGGGGTTGGAGACCACAGTAATGAGTGAATAGGTCATCAATTCAGGCTTCAAAGGAACACTGCATAGATACATGTGGAATGTCGCACAGTTTGGGGCAATTTTTCTGCAAGAAAACTCGAAAAGAAAACTCGCTGGCCGCTCCCAGTGAGTAGGGCATGTGGTGGAATGGGAAGGCTTGTTGGTGGTCGAAGCAGCTACAGTTCTTGGAACTCAGTAGCGGTTGTCCAGGCCAGTACACAGGTTACGTGGCTACCCCTCATCTGTAGTACCTCAATGCCCAACGGCTTGACTTGTGAGCCTTATCTACGGATCTACGGAAAGTGTAGTCCTTTGTGCAGCACAGTTGTAGCTCTCCGCTAACGAGCTTCTTCACACACTCAGGGAGAACGGACGTTCCACAGATGGATCCACTCAGGGTCTCACTGACAGCCTCACCTCACGCCTGCAGGATTTTAAGACATTTCTTGGAAGTGCTGTATTAAGTGCTCAGCACCCAGGATTAAAAGAGCAGGTCAACACGGCGCTGCCATCCAAGTAGCGAAAGTGTGTGAGTCAAGGCCCCCTAGTGCCGACTCTGCTCCAGAGCAGGATAGTCCTCTCCTAGAACCCTCACAAATAGCACGAATACTCAGCACGAACAAGCGTTAGCGACAGTGGCATTTCTCTGTCGAGTTCTTATGTAACTGTAGAAGCACAGTCGCAGGCAGAGATGAATCCCAGCGACCGCAATGTGTTGTTCATATATAGGTGTTCCATTTTAGCGCTGGCGTTACCAAGCTAGCACCGAGACCACATCGGCGATGTCGACATTGTGTACGGGTAACGCATTAAACGGGATTAGTTTTTTTTGGAAAATCTTGGTGCCTGTGGTCTAGTAACAATACATGATATCTTTTGCAAGTTTGGTTGATGTGTGGTTGAAATGCACCACATCGCCCGGCCATGCAACTAGCATCTTGCTTATGCCTAAAATGTCGGATTCCAAAACTATTATCTGCGCTTCGTCTAGCTCTACAAAGCCCTGGGTGGTGTTTGAGCACCTGCAGCGGCAGATTTTCTTTCCGGTTGCATTCATCGCGCAAGGCCGAATGTTCCGATAGGCAGTTTGGTGTTCTTGGTAGAAAAAAGGCAATGCCCAACATTTCCTTGCTTACGTCCTTGCAGTCTTGTGCCCTGCTCTGCCAAACGCACTCCATACTGGAGATCGCGCCCGTTCGGACTACACGTGGGATTTTTAAGAGAATTGATGCTTCTACAGAAGCGCGTTTTGGCACCTCGCTTTAGTGCACCTCGCTTTTCTGTCAAATACCCCTAACACTGTCTCCTTGTGCCGCTGCAGCAGCAGCTGCTTAACTTGACTATCTGCCTCAGCGTTCAAAAGTTAAAGCCTTAACCTTCAGGACAATTCGGCGCTTCCAAAAAAACAGTGCAGTGGCAGAGACTTGGAAACCATGAAAGCAATGTAGTGTTTACGCTTCCATCTTATTGCTAGATTGGTGCTAAAAAAAGCAGCGTTAGTGTTGAATTTGTAATATGCGCAGTGACGCCATATTCACTCCCCAATGGAGAGTCTAATTCACAGAACAGACTAGTATGTTGATAGTTCTTCTTTCCCTTGAGGGTTGCTGAGATAACCTCGAAGTTGAGTCGATCTTCGAAACTTTGGAAACCGCTCGCTAGCTTTCTAGAAAACTTTGCAGGTGGAGTTGTTTGGTCACGCGATAGTTACCTTCTCCATCCTCAACACAAAATTTAACAGAGCCGTCACGAAAGCGTCTCTGAAAATAGCAAGTGCACAGCCAGCCAAAAATCATCCACACGCTTTCACAAACACTTTACAGTCAGCGAACGCTACTTCAAGGCTGCAAATTTGCTTACCAAGGAAGCCAAGACACTTGAGCGGGCAGGCAAAGGGGTTATCGCCAAAAGTTGGCTCTCCTGGTGCCCTGTAGTGTTTTGCCGAGGCTGCGAGGCCACTTCGTCTAGTGAACGCAGGACGCGACTCCCATTGCTCAAAACAAGAGCAATGCCGTACAAAGGGAAGTGTCGAAGAAGCAGTCCATTTTTCCTCTCCTTAGCCCTTGCGTGTCCAGACTTTTGGGGACGGCGCCTTTCGAGGTCACACTTCCAGTCGCTGATACTACTACCAGAGGCCGTGGTGCTGTCACTGAGGTCAATACTACTGCGCGAATTCTCACCAATAATCAAACTCGCCACTAGGGAGTCAGCTTCCCACGGTACGGCCCGAAAGAGGCGAAGACCGGACTCATTCGCTTCGTCAGCCGTTTGAGAGGATAGACTGACTGACAGTGGCTCTTTCCGTAGAAAATGTAGCACAGGAAATGGCAAACGGATCTGATCTAATAGTACAAGGCTCCCCAATCCACTGGCGAAGCCGCAGCTGCCCTCACTCCACTGTAGCAAAACCAGAGAGTCATCCGCAGTAGAAAGGAGCAACAGCCGCTGCATCTTTGCTTCGAGCGCCCGCGTTACTTCTCCAAAGGGCATTAATTGTAGAGCCTGTATGATCGGGTCGGTACCACTGACCGAACTGAGTGCTGCTGGGGCTAAACGCGTGTATGTGCATCCAGTAAACCATTCTTCAGCCACTTCAAGGCTCATTCCACTTACGCGCTGCAGCACACATAGTACAACACAAAGCTTACAGTCACAGATTGTAGGCAGCAAGCAGGTGTTGCAAAGT